CAATATTTTATAGGTTGTAATTTTTTGTGAACATTTCAAGAAAATGTAACAAGGACAGAGACTTCTTCTGAAGAGCTTGTTTCATTTGTACTGTATGCTAAGGGGAATATTGTTTGATGTCCTTTTAATTTGTTTCTGAGACAACTTTTACAATGGACCTTTAGAAGAAAATTTAAAATATTTTCAATTCAATCTAGTTTATTTATACGGTTCCAACATCATAACGCATGTCATGTCAAGGCACTTTACAGAGACAATACAGTCAGACTTTAAAGTTTCTGTCAAGGAAAATCAGCTGAGAGCATCCAGTTATTGACCTGCAAGACATGCTGTAGGATGACCTATCCGTGAAGATTTTAGCTTATATTTTGGCTACGTTCACACTGCAGCCTGAAGTGACCCAAATCTGATTTTTTTGCCCATATGCTACCTGGATCAGATCTTTTCATGGCAGTCTAAACACAGATCCGATTTTTTCCCAATGCGATCCAGGCCACTTGGCTATGTGGGCCTATATCCGATACGAATCTGATCTTTTCAAATGCGACCTGTGTGTGAATGATCAGGTCGCATTCATCCGACCTGAACGCCATTAGTATCCAACATAGGTCACTATTCTGCTTCCTGCTACACAGAAGTGGAAAAAAAAAACAACAACCAATGTGGACGATGATGCAGAGAGCAGTATTTTTTTTAACCATCTTGAAAAGATTGAGGTTTTAAGGTTTAAGCACTACATCCATGTTTACTTCCATAAACACGAAGTACGCTGGCCTGTGACATCATTGCTTCCTCTACTGAGCATGCAGGACACTTAAGCTGTACGAATGCATATATTGCATATATGCATATATTTGGAAATGTGAACGGCAACGCAAAAAAATAGGATTTCATTAAAAAAACAGAATTGAGCATCAAGGCCTGCAGTGTGAACGTGGCCTTTGTCACTGACTCTTTAACAATCCCTCCGCCCCAAGCATGGACGTAACTACAGTGGACAGAAAAAACTCCCTTTTAAAAGAAAGGAACGTCCAGCACAACCGGGCTCAGTGTGAACGGTTGTCTCTCTCTCATAGATAATATAAATAACTTATCAAATAATACAGAATAAGAGAAAATTGATAGAACGAACCAGGATAAGGGAAAAGTGGTCTCTATGTCATCCAGCATCATAAACATATTTCAGCATGATTAAAAAAAAATTTATTTGTGTGCATTATTTGACTTTATCAGTTTAAATCACACATATTTTTCTTTGTGAAACTTCGAAATTTAGCCATTTTGGATGGTAGAGATCTACTTTGGAAGTAGTTTCACTCTATGTTAGCATAAAAGTCCTGTCAGAAGTAATGTCTAAATCTCCCAACTACAGTCTTCTAGAGGTCAATACACTCTTATACTAAGGCCAAAAATCCTTACTTCAAAAACTACAAGCTGTTTCTATAAAAAAAACTCCAACTCCTCAAAAGCACAGACAAGAAAACAAGAAAGTGTTCCTTCAATTTTTTTTCTTTGTTGTTGCTTCTTTTGGCATACCATAGAACACATCAAAGCAATATCAAAGCAAATTTAATATACATTTATAGATTTGTAGCTTTCCTTTCACTTTATTTGGCCAACTGATTTACTTATAATGTTTGCTGTTAAGGGTCATTATTCTCTACCCTGGTTTCTTTCAAACGATTTAGCTTTTTTATGTTAAACATTAGTGTTTCCACTATGGATTATCTTGAGCTACCAAATACTCTACTGAGTGACTTGACATAAGCTTAAGTAAGAGTTTTTACTTGAATATGATGGGCATATATGAAATATCAAAGAACAAGACATGAGGCTTGTGTGAGCAGACTGCAAAGGTTCACTTTGTTGGTTCTAGATTTATTGTTTAACCTGGAATCTTAAATCATGCACAAAACTATATAAAACAGAATTTAGCCACTTTGATAAACTATAAGTCATAAATGGTGATAATCAGAACAAGACAATTAAGCCAGACTATAAAGATAATATTTTTGTGAGCAGTCATTGTTCAAAGCCCTACAGAGAGATATAATACATAAATCACTGCCATTATAAAATCATTTGTTTTCCAATTAAAACAAAAGGTTGGCATAAGCCACGTGTTCTGAGTTGTGGAATACAACCTGCTTAGAGCCCAGCAGGTTAAATTTTAATTTGTAGAACAAGGCAAGACATTATAGAAATGTGCTAAAAGAAGTTGCTATGGATGGTTTACTCTAGCACGGCAGCCTATTACGCAAGAGTTTAGTGTCCCAGACATTTCTTTTTTTCCCTTCTGAATCTTATTTGTCTTCAGACGCTGCTATGTGTGCAGTCGAGCTAAAGTTTAATGTAAACAAGCCGCCTACTTTCTTTCCGTCCGCTCAATAATAACAGTTGTAGAGTGTGGTGAAGATTTGTTCTTGCTGTGAATCGATGCTAATCACATCATCATGCTGCCCCGTCCCTCATTCTTCTCTCTGGGGCTTCACACTCCTCTCTGGCCTCCTTGTCCTCGCCCGCTGCTTCTCCTGCTCCATCGCTGTCGCTCCCCTCCTCCCTTCTGTCTCCCTTCATCATAAGCCATCTGAGGCTGCTTGCATGTAAGCCAACTCTCCAGAAGGGTCAGCACCATGATGATGCTGATTCTGGAGTTGACACCAAAGTAAAGAGCTCCCATCGCGCATCTTTCATCCATTATTTGCTCACCAGCTGTGACTGATGACTGTTTTTAACATGTTGTAAAGCAGACTTTATGTGAAAACCTAATTTACTTTGGATCAATAGGACAAGTGAGATAACACGCTTTTCTAGAGTGGTTAGCTCTGATCCTTGCATACGTAACAGTTAAAAATGACCTTGTTACAGTAGACCGCTCCACAGGAAACCCTAATTTATTTTTCAGCAGCAAATCTCAGCATCCTATAAGCATCTTTTATGTTGATAAAAACTTCTTATACAGTAGCTGACAGATTGATTCGTTTTTCTGAGCTATAGTGTGACCCTGAAGATCTCCTCCATCCATCCATCCATCCATCCATCCATCCATCCATCCATCCATCCATCCATCCATCCATCCATCCATCCATCCATCCATCCATCCATCCATCCATCCATCCATCCATCCATCCAGTTTAGTTTTTGGTTTCATCAGAGATGGACAAAAAGCTGAGTACTGGAAGCTGGTGGACCACTTTGTGACATTGAATGGAAAACAAGGGAGGTAATTGTAGATTTAAGGGAAAACTGGAATTGGTCAAACTCTGTTACCATCATTAAAGAAAAGGAGATGGTGGAGTATAAATACCCTCATTTTTACATATGTAGCAGACAGTATTGCTTGAGAAAGCTTAGGTCCTCCAGTATTAGCAACTCAATGCTGCGTATATTTTATAAAACTGTTATGCAGAGTGTGATGTCTTCTGTCCTCATCAGCGTTAGAGGAATTGACATAAATAAGCTCAGCAACCTCATTAAGAAGGATGGTTCTGCTCTCAGAACTTCTCTGGAATGTCTGGAGGGAAGTTTTAAAAAAGAAATGCCTCACAATATATAGAAGAACATTATGGACAATTTCTAAGCATTGCCCTCATTAGACTTTTGTAAAAAAAAAAAGAGTGTCTTCATTTAGAGGCCTCTCCTGACCTGCTGTAAAGCAGACCACTACAGGAAATCCTTTCTGTCTGCAGCAGCTTGTTTAAGAAATCTCTTTGAGTTACACCACATTTGTTTTCTATTTGGGATTAATAAAATGTTTATGAATTACATTGAATTGAACTAAATGTAATCTAGTTCAATTATGCAAATTAAATAGCAAAAAATTTAAATTAAGTCATATAAAGACTTAAATCCATTTACATACATTTCAATCGGATTCTAACTAAATGAGAAAATTGCTTTGCTCGACCTTTCCTCTGTACAAATCTATAATTTCATATCTATATATGAAATTTTAAATGTTAGTTTTATAACAACATAAAGTTTACTGTCATACTCTTCCTGTGTTTTATAACGTCCTCTTCCTGGAGATTTCAAGTCATCTCTTGTTTGATCTGATACCCTTATATAATGAGAGCGTTGTATTTCTACTGAACATTAACATAAAACTTACAGTATATCAGTCCATGTTTTAATGCTTCTGAATATCCCACATGAAAAAAAAAAAGAATAATATATTTGTGTATTAGCAAAACACATAACTATTTCAATGACAGATCTTCATTTATTTTTGCAGTGCTGGTTTTCTAAAAAAATAAAATAAAAATTGGCTAAATAAATATCCAATACTGACTGCTTTCAGTGAGAAAATTTGTCTTATTTCTAAATTCCAAGCCTGTTATCATACTAATTATATTTGACCGTATTTTACTGCTTGTGTAAAATTAACTCAGCATTTGGCCTTGAAGTTCAATGTTTGGACCTCTAACTTTCTCGAATTAACATGCCTGAAAGGTAGCGGAAGCGACAGGAAATTGAGGGAGATAGACCGGAAGGCACACCTAATAACTTATGTAGCATAGTAATGGTTTTTGATACAGTAAGGGTAATTTTTCTTTCAATGTAGAAAGGGGGGAAATACATTTACTACTTCTTTTAAAATCGAACTGTCTAATTGGTTGAAAATACATCAAACACCTAAAGGATTTTCAGGGTTTGTTTTTTCCTTTTTAGGCACTTATCAAAGCGTTTGACATTCATTTACTGTAACATGACATAGGTCCAGTTAGGTTTCAGTTTTCCAAGAAATATTAGTGCCCCTTGTCGGAAATTGATACAGATAAAACTCTTGGATTTCTGGAAAGGCTTCTATTCATGCAGATGCAGGTGTAATGTGATATATTTATTCAACTGACTCATCAATACAAGCTACAGCATCATTTGTGCACAAAAGAGTGACCTTTTGGCTGCTGGCTTTGTTCTTACTAAAAATATAATGTTCTCTATCTCTGTTTGCCTGTGTGCTTACATTTCTGTGTGTGTGTTTGTGCGTGTGTCCACAGCTCCAGCTAATGCACAGATTGTGCACTCCGGTGCAGCATGTAACGTCAAGGACGATAACATAAGCGAGAGAATTTACACCATCAACGAAGGAGACACACTAGTGTTGCAGTGTATTGTTAAAGGACACCCACGACCACAGGTAAGCTTCAATCACACCTGCTGAATACTTTTTGTGTACTGTATGTAAGCAGTTTAAGATGAATTTTCATTCCTTACAAGCAAAACTTATAGTTAGTGTCGAGGGAAATTTGGAATCTGCTTAAAGTTATCCTGACAAAATGACAACATTAGCTTGTTGGTAGTCTAACATTACAGATTTCTCTAAAATGATAGGCAGATAAAATGTTTTTTGTTGTGTTAAGCTTACTTGATGTAAGCTTTCAGTGTTTTAGCTTAAATGACATGTTAAAATACTTCATGCAAGCTTTTTGACAGCTGATGTACAAAACTCCTGTGTTGTTTTATGTATGAAATTACATAAAACGTTGCAAGGAACTAGAGTGAAGTAATCACTTTCAAGATAGCTGGTGACTTTTATTTCAAAATTGATGGTAATGTGGTAGATAGAGTCATACATCACTTTTCATTCATCTTCTATATAGAGAGAATATTCAGTCTGCTTTGATCAGCCCCCATATCCTGTCCTTCCTGGAAAACTCAATATTTAGGAATGTCTGTCTCCTAGTCTTTCTCGTTTATCAGTCTCAGATTTAAGTTTGTTTTTAGAGTTAAATATAGCAAAGCCTGAGGTCTTATCAAGTTGCTGATGTTGTTAGAATACATGAACACCTTTTTAAAGCTTGCAGAGCTTAACTTTGTTTTCATGGTGCTGCTGCTACATGCCAGCACTTTAAGGTAAAAAAGCTGGTGTATAGAGAGCTGAAGGCAGGGTGGGTGAGTTCTACGATTAGAAAGGCCCTACCATTGGCAAGCAACATGTCATGATGTACCTGTGAGTAATTACAGTGTTTACAGTGTCAAAGTGGCTCAGTTTTTGCTTATCCTCACTATTTAATTTTTCACTCACTATATACTAGAGTGGTTACTTCAGTGCAAAACTTGCCATTAGACTCTCAGCTGAACTTTTTTTAATCCTGTCTCTGGCCTCAGTCTGTTGTGATGTTAACAGCACTGTCACAGCATTCGGTTAGCGCTCTGCAAATGGTTTTCATGAGTTGGAACAGCAATAGAGCAGAGAATGTGCTTTCTGGCTTAAAGGTCACAGGTTTAATTCCACAAAACAACTCATTGGATAAATGTGCTCTGTGCTGTTAACAATTGAATCACAGCCATTGCCTTGAGCAAGGTTAACTGTGCCACTGCTAATACTTAATCTATAGAATACAGACATACAGTTCTGAAGAACACAATAAGAGCTGATATATAAAGATAAATTGAATATCAGCAAAGAGAGATCTGAGTGAGGGTTTGTTTGATTTCTGCTTCCACATCATTGAACAGACTTCTTTCCATTTTTAGCCTTTTTAGACCATATGGACACGTTAGATTTTACCCGGTCTATTAAAAAATACAAAAATAAGAAACAGCAGCCTTTTTACACAATATTGTACTCCCCACTAATGTTGCACTTTAAAAGGCACACTTTTCTAACACCAAGATGGAGTGTATGTTGTCAAGAAAGTTATGGAAACTTTCCTTTGGGATTTAGGCATATATTGACATTGTTATGTCATTAATTTACTGCAGATTTCTTAGTAGTACATCCGTGGGATAAATCTGTTCCACCACATTCTGAAAATGCTTCCCTGGTTTGATATCCAGTGACTCATCAAGCTATTAGAGGCATTGTTATGTTCCAAGAACCTGTTTTTATATGTACCAAACCTTACAACACTGTGAATTATAATCAGACCAACGTGATCAACGTGACCATCTGTGGTCATATAGGGACAGACAGTGCCGACAACAGTACTCAACTAGGCTTAAACATTTTGAATGGTGCACGACTGGTAGTAAATGTCAGGTTGTGTGCAGGTTTTGGAGGACCCAACTGCAGAGTTGGAAGGAGGCAGAGATGAGTTTTTGCTGATTAAATGCTGATCCATAAGCAAACAGAGGCCAAGTCCAAAAACAAAATACAGAAAACCAAAAACTAGAAGATGCGAGGGAAAACAGACATAAGAAGCAAAGAAAGGATGAATAACCAGCAAATACTAACTGAACAGGAGGAGTATATATGGCAAACAACAAAGATTAGGGTAATCAACTGATTGGAAGCAGGTGTGGACAGAAGAATCTAGAAGGGAACTAGGGGAAGGTGACTGACACAAGAGGGTAATGGTGGGTAAACAAGAAATACATAAGAACTCAAATACAAGCAGAAAACAACTCAAAATGGTAATAAAAACAATGAAAACACAAAAGGAAACTTAAACAGAACCAAAATATGCAATACCCTGGCAATAAAGGTCCAAATGAAAGAATCCCCCACACTATCAAACTATACTATAAGGCGGGATGGATACATGATTTCATATTGTTTATGCTAAACTTAAACTCAGCCATATAAATTTCAATGCTAAAATCAAACCTCTTCTAAACCTTTTAATAAAAATTCCAAATCTCTTATTGTTCTGTTCTCATGACTAATTATTAATTATCGCCTTAGCTTCCAAATTTAGCAAACAATACTGGCACCTGATAAGGTCTTCTGATGTTGTAGCCCATCTGCTTTAAGGTTTGATATTTCTTTGTGGTAATTTAAATAACTGCTGCCTTTGTACCATTTCAAGAAGGCCTGCAGATTGTTTTGATATCAACAAATTATATTTTCTCATCAGTAAATATTACTGATGTGGATCTTTTTTAGACCCTTATCTGCAAGAGAGATAACCGAGCATTTAAACCCTGGTTTCTGAAATATTCCAGTGGATCCATTTGAAATTTACAACGTGCAACATTTAAAACAACTTGAATACTATTTGTCCTGCTGCTCAATTTGAATGGTTTTGGTATCTCCACCACACCTTGATACCTAAAAACATTGAGATGTTCCCATGAGGTTGGCTTATCACTGTACATTTTAACAAGCCTTTAAGCAGTTGTAAAAACTAAATAGGATAGTGAGTTTTTATCACAGCATTCAGGCACTAACAAACTACGAATATACAACTGTAGGCTATATATGTCCAAACATATATGAATACAAAAATGCATCCAGTTCACACATTCACAAGAAATACAGATTATATACATGTAAACAAAAGGCGCACAAAACATGACCAATACTTGGGCACTGTTTTATTCATGGTGATATGATGCTAGTGGACATCCACCCATGAGGAAGACTGCTTTTCTCACCTCGCACAATTCCACACAGATACACACATCCCCTCTGCAGATACCTCTTTTCACTTCATATCTGTCTCAGGAAAATCATGCACACATGCTCTCACACATAGCAGACATAGCAGGCATGGGAAGCAGGAGTTCACTCCAGGAAAGCAGAGGGGTCCAGGATTACAAGTGTGTGTGTGTGTGTGTGTGTGTGTGTGCGTGTGTTTGTCGGGGGGAGAAAGAAAGTTAATTTGCTTCTGTATCAATGTTCAAATTTGCCTTTAAAGATAAGGCTAAACATGCACCTCCACATATTAAAACATAAAATTTTCAGCCATGTGCCCTGAAAAAACAATCAACTTTCTGATTTTTTCAGAGTGGGGGAATATCAATCAATACACCGGATGCACCACAAACTACACATACAAAACAAGTTTATTTCCCTGGAGTAGTTCAAAGATGTAGGAAATTGCGTCAGTGATTGCTTATTCTCTGGGCTGGAGTTGGGAGTGTATTTTGAATAATGATTGCACTGGTCACATTGTCAGAATGTAAAAAAAATATATCTATATATGATGTGTGCACACTGGATTTACCCTGCCTCTGGCAAAGAGATGCTGGCTGAGCGACTGTGTCTGCTGGCATTTGCACATGTGTATGTACAAGTTTGTCAGTGACAAACTGTGCATGAAGGCTTACAGGTGCTGGTCATAAAATTAGAATATCATGAAAAAGTAGATTGATTTCAGTAATTCCATTTAAAAAGTGAAACTTGTATATTATATTCATACATTACATACAAACTCATATATTTCAGATGTTTATTTTGTTTAATTTTGATGATTACAAATGACAACAAATGAAAATCTCAAATTCATCATATCAGAAAATTAGAATATTACTGAAGACCAATAAAAACAAAGGATTTATAGAAATGTTGGCCAACTGAAAAGTATGAACATGAAAAGTATGAGCATGTACAGCACTCAGTATTTAGTTGGGCCTCCTTTGGCCTGTATTACTGCAGCAATGCGGCGTGGCATGGAGTCGATCAGTCTGTGGCACTGCTCAGGTGTTATGATAGCCCAGGTTGCTCTAATAGTAGCTTTTAGCTCTTCTGAATTGTTGGGTCTGGTGTATTGCATCTTCTTCTTCACAATACCCCATAGATTTTCTATGGGGTTAAGGTCAGGAGAGTTTGCTGGCCAATTAAGAACAGGGATACCATGGTCCTTCAACCAGGTACTGGTAGCTTTGGCACTGTGTGCAGGTGCCAAGTCCTGTTGGAAAATGAAATCTGCATCTCCAAAAAGTTGGTCAGCTGCAGGAAGCATGAAGTGCTCTAAAACTTCCTGGTATGTGGCTGCGTTGACCCTGGACCTCAGAAAACACAATGGACCAACACCAGCAGATGACATGGCACCCCAAACCATCACTGACTGTGGAAACTTTACACTGGACTTCAAGCAACGTGGATGAAGTGCCTCTCTTCTTTTCCTCCAGACTCTGGGACCTTGATTTCCAAAGGAAATGCAAAATTTACTTTCATCAGAGAACATGACTTTGGACCACTCACCAGCAGTCCAGTCCTGTTTCTCTTTAGCCCAGGCAAGACGCTTCTGATGCTGTCTGTGGTTCAAGAGTGGCTTGACACAAGGAATGCGACAGCAGAAACCCATGTCTTTCATACGTCTGTGTGTGGTGGTTCTTGAAGCACTCACTCCAGCTGCAGTCCACTCTTTGTGAATCTCCCCCACATTTTTGAATGGGTTTTGTTTCACAATCCTCTCCAGGGTGCGGTTATCTCTCTTGCTTGTACACTTTTTTCGACCACATCTTTTC